TCTTGACGATTTGTATTGCTATTCCATCGCATTTATGTCATGTTTGTATGTCCCATAGAAAACAGTAGAAGTAGCAAAGTCTGAAACTGAGCAGTTTATTCTACGGATAGAACTAAGAAAGACCATAAAATGCCCCTCCTTTAGTATTTTAATTTCTCGTGAGGATTGTGGAAGGCGTGACCTATTTTAGCGTTTACCCGCTTTATTGCTTAGGGGCGGCCTGAGGGTATTATCAAAAACGTTCACCCCGCGGCCATTTTGTTTCCTGCTACCAATTCAACAGGTGGATCTTGGAATTCGTGTGTATTTACGTACATCGACGAAACTGTAGGCAGAAGAGTAAAATATCGGGTAAGTAGTTGTCAATTTTAGACCAAAGTATGGTCTAAGCCTAAACCTTACCGTGGTCTCGGTCTTTAGCAGAAGGAAGGGAGGGGTTTTTAGTCGGTAAGAGATAATTTTCCCTCCCCAAAAAAGCGTACAACTTATATATTTTTCTTTTTCGTTTTGACTGCCACGGCCGAGCAAGTGGCTGCTATGGAACGTGGCGCGAGTTCAATTCCCGCACGGAACAAACTGTCTGTACAAATTGTTGTTTCAGGTCTAGATGGCTTGTGTCTGTGAATTTATTTATGTTTGTATCACTAACAACACAGGTGAAATTCGAAGTATGGGGTACTTTATAAATACTTTATAACTCGGAAAAAGTCACATTGGTATTTGCCAGGTTCGAACACACCCTCATGCACTAGAAGCGGGCGCTTGATCCTCCGGGCGAGCAAATATCTTCGTATCTGCCATTGTAGTCGTACACTAAGGAGACACATCTTCTCTTGCGTGTGTATTATACACATTTTCGATTTTTAAATATGTACAACCATATTTTATAATGAATTGATTATCGTTAGTTTCGCTAAGACTTTAGAACAGCAGCAGCTGGAACGACTCATTTTAAAATATCGTAAGGTCATGGAAGTTCATGGAAGATTAAATAAAATTGTTTAGAATCTTAATCAGATGTTATAGGTACCTAATTATGTATATCATGACACAAAAGAAAAGCGTTTAACAAGTAGGTATTGGATGACTAAACCCTAATTATTATCATTGGTAACTTTGAAACGGTAGGTACGTTCGTTCGCTGGGGAGTGAATTTTGTATAAATAAAGAAGGAGGCCAGTAATCAAGTCGTTCACGCGTCATGACAATATGTTTGGGATTTTACCTAAATGCGTTGTCTTTAACGAGACTTACATTGAGGGCACCCTTGGACAGTTGAACTCAATTTTACTTTGTAATAAGGTTTATTTTCAGTTTAAGTACTTCGGTACATGCACCAACAAAAGGGAGGTAGGGGCCACACAATAGAGAAAGTTAGTAATAGCATAATCAACATACAATTTTATGTCAAAGGTTGGCAAATCATTAATTTGATTACCTGATGATAAGCAATCAGCGCTCCCTGTGGACGCTCGTATTAACAAAGCAGTTACTACAAGTGAAACAATAAAATAATGAATATATTTTTGCAAATCGACCATAAAACGGCACTTTCATACGTCAATTTATATGTGAAAAACTAGATGAAGTAAAGAAGTGCGTTACCGAATTCTTGCGGCTTATTAAGGATTTAAGGATAGAGAAATTGAGGATTAATATTGGGGCGCGGGAAGGATTGTGCCTCTGGTTACCCCACTCACACGGCGAAACACAGCGTTAGTGTGGCTTCACGCTGGTTTTCTGTGAAGCAGTGGTATCAATTCGGTCGAGCCGGCCCATTCGTCCAAGGAATGACTTTTCTACACTTATTTGATTTCGGAGTAAAAAAGTGTGACTTACTTATCTATATTGTTACATGCTCCTATCATTATCTAGAGAGTGCAAATATATTACTTTTGCTTCCCAAACCGGGTATAACTAGGTACTATTTACCCGGAAAAAAACGACCCGAGTAGGTAAATATTGCGACGTCAAAAATAGGGTCACTTTCACCGATAGGGGTCAGGTTCATTGAGTTTGAAAGTTTAACACCGATAGAGTCAGGGAACTGGGGTAGGTAAATGAATTAACGAAACGACTGACCAAGTTTTGAGTGAATTTCGATTATTAAGACAAATGGTCCTTTGATACTTTAAGGTTTTTCCTCATAAGAGATAGAAAATGACGTTCTGTAAAATATGGGTATTGACAAACTATTTCTTATGAAGTTTTTCACCTGTTTAAGGGTTTAGGGACATAGATCCTACCATGAAGTGTTAAAGCGTGAATCTTCCGAGTGAGAAAGAGGGATGCAGCTATACAGGGTGTATAGCTCCATCCCTCTTTCTCGCCCGAAAGATGGTAGGCCTACAGTTCAGTAGTTGCGAGTCGGAGTTCAGAGCATTCCAAGTTCTATTTTATGATTTATTTACAATCCGAAATATGATGATAGAGACGGCAAAATTTAAATATATACGTATAAAGATAAGACAGATGGAATCCGGTATGTCCTAAAACTGCAGCCTCACTTCAAGCCGCGTAATGACATGATACTTATCTTCAATTTTTGACAGAAATCACTGAAAATAAAGCAATCTGATTCAAAGTAAAAGAAAACCTCTTTTTTTAAGCGGGGAATATTGGCACATGTGTTCTCCAGCTATGGATGAGGCGCGAGAGAGTGTCACACTCTTACTGACTAAAAACCAACCAGTTCCGTATTGCACTAGCCCCGCAACCACGACTGACAAGGAGACCCTTAACACTAAAAATTGCGTTAACGAAATCTTCCGAATCGATTTCGGTACACATAGCAATAGTAGTTATAAGTTCCTGCTAACTGTAAGTGCGTATAAATAGTAACGGTTAATTTTAGCTTAGAGCAACGACATGTAATGTCTAATTATAACTGGACGATCTTCCTATCTGCTAGGTCGAGTCTGCTGTGTACAATCAGCTGATGGGATTGTAATTAAATACTTTTTAAGCTTTACTTGGGAAAAAGACAGAAGAAAAGAAGGGAAAAAGAAGGGTTTCTGCCCATTATTTAAGAAGGCATATAGGGCTTTGTGCCCGTTGTGTCCACCGCCTGTAGGTCTACCATGACGTGTTAAATGCTCGAATCTTCCGGGTGAGAAAGAGGGATGGAGCTATAAAAGGTGTATAGCTCCGTCCCTCTTTCTCTTCGGTAGGCCCTCTGGTCAAAGGAAGGAGGTAGCCTATACATTATTTTATCTCCTTACTACATTTTATACTATATCCTAGACATTGAAATCACAGCATAACCAATCTGACAGTTATTTATTTCCTACGTAAATGTTATGTAAGGATTATTTAATTATTTTAATAGGCACTTTATTTCATCAAGCCCCAAAATACCTATTATTGTTCTTCTATCGTGAAGGTATAAAGCACCTAAACTTTAAATTGGACTTTTACTAGAAAATATTTATGTAGATTTGATGTCTAATAGTAGACATTAAACTTTATTTAAGAGTTGAAAATATTGGTAATGCACTATTACTTTATTAAAACACTTCATTATCTTCCTTAAGGATTAGAAGGACAAGAACATTGACCCGCCAAAATACTAATGCTGCGCCTCTGTGCACCAAATAGGCATAAAAACAGCTGCGCATGTCCAGTGTCCACCAAGACAAGACGGACGAGGTAGTCTTTAGAAAAATCAAAATGTTTTTTTTTTTTGTTGCCTTTACCCATGCTAAACACGTAATTACTCTGCTTTCTTTAATTAAAACAATATATGTAGGTCACGTACATTCCTCAATAATTCACAAAGTTAGTTTAATGTTCATAATTTATTACCATTCCCATTGAATCATCTGGCTAAGTAGATAGTTCAATTTTCTACGTAGATTCTTATCACACGGAGAAGGTTTAAAAATTAATCACCTCAAAGCGGATTGATGATTTCAGACTGATAATCAGAAATTATCAAGTTCTGGTTTCCTTACAGTGTTTTCCTTCAACGTTCATCAATGGTGTCTAAAAAAATACAAGTCGTAAAAAATCACTTTGGTACTTGCCAGGATTTGAATCCACCCTCTCGTGTATGAAAAGTGAAAGCTGAAAATTCTGGACCATCACTGCTCAAAACTGTGATACCTGGATGGCTTAAGACATGAGATCAATAACATTACTGAGTACACACGTGCAAAAAGATTTCCCTTCAAAATACACTACAGTATCTATATAATTACTCTGTGATGTCACTAAATTGACTGCGGTCATTTGCTGTCACCAGTCTACCGGAAAGCATCAAGTCACCTGTCTCTCTCGACACCCGACAACTGTTTCACGCCGAGGCCTTCGACACATACGTTGCTACATACGTCAATCAACAAAAACGTTCTGGAATCGAATGTTAAAAACACATTGACGACTAAATTACATGCATATAAATTCCACATGATTAATCCGCGTCGGAACGTTTAGCGTGGTTCAGCAGTGCCGGTCCTGTTAAGATTTTTAGGTGTACCAGAAATGAAAATTGAATTTACACTCAACATCGCAATCAATGTGCTGAGAAACTAGTACCCTGACCAGGAAATACTACAAAATTACCGAATCGAGAGACATACATGCATCCTACATAAATTTTCATTAAGTATTTTATACATACGTCACTACTGACTATAACTATATGGGTAATCGTGAGACAGATGTCAAGTTTCTAATTGAGTAAAGTTATATTATATAAAAGCAAAATGCGTTTGTAACCACCCCAATCATGCTGGCGCCCAGTACGTTAGCCCCGCTCTCAGCGCCCTAAGACCGGCCCTGCGTTTGGGTCCAAGTGGGAGTTATCGGAGTGATGCCCGTTGGCCTACCGCCATACTCAGTCGCAGAGAGGAAGCCGATGTAAACAGGGCTATTTGCACGACTCTGATCTTGGCCAGATCTTGACCTATTAACACGCAGTGGATGTCAGTGAGTGTCGCTGCGAGTATTTATAGATTGGGGCGCTGAAGCTTTTTGTTTCGGGTTCGCGCGCAATCGGGGTACGGACGAAGTACGGGCGCGTCGCGTCCGATGTAAAATGTCCGCTAGAGGGATAAGACGGAAGAAATCGTCGCTGTCTGAAGTGAAAGTCGCCGTGATCGGCGCGCCATCTGTCGGCAAGAGCGGTACGTTTAGTGCAGTGATTGTTTATAATTTATAAAAATTAAGCAACGGTGTTATTGTGTTTTGATGAAAAAATCAAAAAAATATTACACGAAATTTTAAATTTTGGCGGCAAATTCTCCCTCGTGGTTACTTTAAATGTTTTTTTAAAGGTGATTCATCGGCTCGTGTATCTTGTTATTTTAGTTTAATATAAAAATAATCGTGGATACGTAGGTAGGTACGACATTGCTTTCTAACAACATTGCTAAAATAACATTGATGGACTACAAGTGTTTTTTGTCTCAAGGCCCTGAATATTTCCAGATCGTTAAATGTAACTAATAAAACGTTTATAATCGATGAGTTATAAAACAAGGGAATGTATCATTCGATGATATTGTACAAGATGTTACGCTAAACATTAGCAGACATCGGAAATAAAAACATAATAAACTTTTTTTAGCAGTTGCGATACGCCACGTTTGAATTTAGAAGCAGTTACTTTATTTGTCTTGATATTCTAATGCTTCAAAAATATGCGAGTTTTATTGGAAAATACCTATGTATGTAGGCACTATACAATCGATTCGATATTTATAAATAAACAATGAAAATACCGGTTCTATTCAATCTCATTGTACTGCATAAATCTAATACAGTATTTTATTATAGCGAACATTATGCACAGGATAAATGTAAACCTATTCACGACTTTGATATTTATTTACAAATATATGTACCTACACATATTATATTTTAATAAAAAACTTCTTCAACTTTGACATAATGATAGTAAGTACATGAAATAATTATCGTAAAACCATTTATGTGTGATAATAATATTATGTTCTGGTATACATCTGCTTAAGTCTTAAATTATAGTTACGTTCTAATTATAACGTGCCATTAAGGGTCTGTTTTTCACAATTTTTTAAAAACTTTGTACCATTTAAGTTTATCGGACATTTATATAAAGAAGGTAGGAAGGGATAGGAATTGTTAGTTATTTTCTTGGTGTATTATAACCGCCAGACTTCTTTTGTTTATTTTTTAGGCAGGAAAGTCATTTTATTTCTTTTTCCACCCTGAGTGAGGTGACTGTCTGACTTTTATTGAAAGACCAAAATCATCTACATTTCTTCTCATTTAAAATACAAAAATTTTTATGCTTCAAAAGACCTTTACTCATCTGAGTAACTTATTAGGACGTTCGAGTATTCAATAGAATGTAGGTCAAAAATTAAGTAGACCGGTAGCTTTTAACATCATGTGTCCGAACTACATTTCTAGGTGGCAAAGCGTACTTCAAAATATTTCACATTGACACGAAAATCGAGGAAACCACTCCAATAACCTAGTTTACAATAACTAGAACAAATTGATAAGGCTTGCTTGGCAAGTTTTGGGTCATAACTTTTGATCGGACATTGAAACCTTAGGGAACCCATTCTTTAGACACCTGTGTTTATGTTTACCGGGCCTATAATGGCACACTTCCCTCGTGGGCGAAATTTGTCTTTGTCCTCTTCCCTACTCCTGTTGTAAGAGCTGATTAAGGGACTTCACGAGTGGGAGAGAGAATGATCCACCTCGAAGGAAGTGTGAGTCATAGAATAGTAATAGTAATATTTTATTTGCATACCACAATGTTATAAAGATGTTACAAAGGGTGTTACATTTATGGACCCTGATAGGTCACAGCAAAAAAGGCATAGATCAGTTTAATTATAATTAGGTACAGTAGTAGGTATTTTATATCATCATCATTTTGTAATTTGTTAATCAGACTATCTTTTTATTATCAAGATATTCTTTGACGCTATAGTAGCATTTGCTCAAAAGAAGTTTTAGAAAACCAGCGCGAAACAACGATTACGTTGTAAGTATTTCGCTGTGTGTGGGACCTATAACCAATCTTTAAATCTCTAACAATTGCCAAATGTACGCACTCTCCTTTTGGAGTTACGGGTGCTGTAAGCGTTGCTCATTGCTTACCATTACGTGATCTATCTGCTCGTTTACCCATCGGGTCAGAGAGAAACCTTAACCTTTTAGAACAAAGGAACAGGGGTTTTTAGTCAGTAAGAGTCTGACACTCCTTCCCGCCCGGCCCTGCGCGGGAGAAGTCATTTGATTTTCCCCTCACAAAAAAAACTTTTTAGAACAAGGATGTAGAGGAGGTTTATAGCTCAGTATTTGACTGTCACGCGGTATTGATGGCAATGATAGCAACTTTTTAAACCGACGTTAGTTTATTATACAATGGTACATAGTTATTAGAGCTGAAACTCAAGCATGAATGGAACTCACAAAAACAATTTGATGTGATCGGGAAGAGCTGTGCTAGAAAAATATAATTACACCAGAACTTAATGAACCTGAATTTAACAAAACCGAACAACAAAAAAAAACAGATAATACTTACACCATAGGTGACCTGCTCCTAAGTGGTGGAAGCAAAAGAAGATCGGGAACCCCTTCTTTCTTCTATGTGGATTCTTGATCCTGGATATTCCTCTGATAGAAAAGTTAAAGTGTCAATTTAAACACAAATGGATATTCATAAGCCTTTGTCCTAGGAGAAGGCACAAAGTATAAAGGTTTCTACTAAGTTCATTTACATGCACCGACACCATTGATGAGTTCCCTGTGACGTGTTTTTTGCGCATAATAATGCGCTTAGTGAAAAAAGAATGATTCGCTTAACTAGCTAACGTATGTTGAAGTGTCATTGTAAATGCAGTAACACTTGCATATCACTTTTTTTGTGAGGGGAAAATCATCGAATGACTTCTCCCGCCCAGGGCTGGGCAGAGTGTCAGACTCTTACTGAGTAAAAACCCCCCTGTTCCTTCTCCTGCTCTGGGCCGAGGTCGCGGTGCCTCATTGCGCTTACCCCGCAACCCCGGCAACACTTGCATATCACTTCGAGGTGAATTATGGACTAGTGGTAACTGAAGTTCTTGGGGTTTTTGAAATTAATTATTTCTCTTCGCAAGTTCGTTCGTTCGTTGATTTCACTGTTTGGGTGGCATGAGTGTGGAAGTGTTTTGTTTTTGATCAAAGTCAATATAGGTAAGGCTCCTAGTCCAAGGAAGAAAGTTGAGCATAAATTCTGACTATAAACTATACCACGTCTTGATTGTTTAGCGATAAATAGGACTAAACAATACGTATACCGCATTCATGATTCGTGAAAGAATGTTATGTGGCTGATGTGTTGTTATGTTTCTGTATAACGTGTTTATGTAAACCCTATACTATTCGAAATACCGCACATTTTACAATGAATCACGTTAAATCTGAATGAAATATACCTCATTTCAGTGCAAATTTCATGGCGGATTTACGGCTGGCGTGCCATAGTATTGTCAGTATTTTTAGACTCATTAACGGGGCTTTAAGAACTTGACTTGTGTATACACGGTACAGATGACGCATGACCGCCGAGTTTCCGCATTGCTGACCAAACGTGACAAGGAAGGATGACCGGGGTCCGTGTCAATTCGGTTAAACTCAATGTTACCCTTTTAAAGGACAGTTCGGTGACAGTGACCAAATATTTAGATAAATATTCACTTTTATTTCTTTTAAAGGAGAATTTTTGAAATCTTTTTACCTTGTTTCTATACGCTCGCAGATCAAATGACGAATTGAATGTTGTACATGAAAATAAACTTTATTGCAATACAGATGAAATAAAAAATACAATAGACAAATGCTGTACAATAATCTTGATTTCTAAAGTAATAAATCGTGTGGTGTTTTCCCTGTGAAACAGTGGAACGCTACAATTTAATTGCTTCAAACGTTTTGTACATGAATCTAGTTTAAATACAGGAATGCAATAAACATTATTTATGATGCTGATTACAGTAACTAGACAATACGGAAAATAAAATTTTTGCTGCGTTTTAATGAGATCTTTTGTTTTTTTCAGTTTTTCTTTGCTATGTTCAATCGATTCTGAGTCTTAAGATTTATAACAAATAAGAAAATTAATTAATATACTTACTAAGTACACCCCGGCTTCGCATAGATAAAGTTTAATGAAAGTTATTACACATGTAGATCTTCCTCTCCAGTTACTCTTTTTATGTAAGAATAGCATCAAAATCAGTTACGTAGTTTTAAAGATTTAAGCATACATAAGGATATAGAGACAGAGAAAGCGACTTTGTTTTTTATTATGTATCTAGTGATTTTATTTGTGTTTATTCTTTTAAATAATATGTTGATATTTTTTTACAACTTTAAATTGTATTTCAGTGTAGAGTTCTTACATATTTATTTTATTTCTTTTATTTCTTCATTGCAAACAAGCATTGCTCAAATGCTCAGCGATTGTTATGCCAAGCGAATGTTAAGGAATTTCTTTGGTAGCCAAAAATTTGTAATTACAAATAACTGACTAAAATCTTTCTTGATAACCTGAATTCTTGCTGAATGTTCATGACCTTGAAGTTAATGCTTCGGTTCATTTCATTTTATCGTTGCGTTGAATTATTGCCTACGTACACAACATTTTTAACATTATCGGGATACCTACTATCATTACCCATGCAAATATCATTTCCCGATCTTTCGCAGGCACAGCAAACATAACATATTTGATTAAAGTATTTTAGTACTGTTTTGTCACTCCTGTGTCAATCCTTAAATTGTGCGTATGTTTTATTTATCGTTCACATACACATTATTATATTCACATAAATATACCTAATGCATTTGTTTCATCTAAGTAAGTATTTATAAATAGTTCAGCTTGCGCCTAAACTTAACTGACATTATGTATAGCATATTTAGTACATTTACAAGAAAAAAGTTCTTCTTTAAAGTGAGGAGGTAATTAGAAATCGAATCTCATGACTAAGTACATCCGCGCGCGCCTCCAAGAGCCAATAGACCACCACAGATGGGGCCCTAAAGGGCTGATGTTCAGCCGGGGTTGCGGGGTAAGCGGAATGAGGCACCGCGATCTCGGCCCAGAGCAGGAGAAAGAACCCTGTTCTTTCTCCGG